ATGTTTATAACTTCTGTTTTAGGGCTAGATTTGAAAATGTTGGTGTATATTTTCTCCAATCCATCTCTGTTAGGAGTGAACACCGGCAAGTACCGACAGATCTGTAGTTTCAACTTTTTATTAGCCTTCTTTCAGTATTGTTTTGTCTCTAATATTTTCTATAGATGGGCTAAACCCTTGGTGGCTTAATGTTGAAAAAATACATAAGCAAAATAATTAAATAAATAACTGAATTAAGGCACATTACGTTGGTGAAAAGCTGCCACCAAGACCATGAGTTTTCTTTTTTTTAGGGATTTTTAGATTTGTTTTGGTCTACCAGTGCCTTTAGTGAACTGACAGTGTTGAAAGGGGCAGACAGAGGTGATGACACACAGCAAGTGTTCGTGGTCAGATTCAAAACGGGTTCCTCCGCATGGACACCAATCTAACCAAGAACAGGCGGTGGTGGGGAAGTCGATAGGGACTTGGCTTGGCAACTGGAAGGTCACCAGTTCAAGTCCCGGCAAGACCAAGTGCTACCGAGGTGTCCCTGAGCAAGGCGCCGTTCCCCACACTGCTCCCAGGGCGCCGTTCAAAATGGCAGCACACTGCTCCTAACACTAGGATTGGTCAAATGCAGAGAAACAATTTCCCCACGAGGGATTAATAAAAGTCCATCTTAATGTGTTTGGGGTGTCATGGGATGATTTGTTAAACTGGCTAAGCTTGTTAATGTTTGTCCTTTTGTTTTTACCATAAACCAGGGGTGTCCAAACTACGGCCCAGGGGCCAAATGCGACCCGTGGTCCATTTCTAATTGGCCCGCAGCTTATTCTAAAAGTATAATTGAATATGGCCCACATGTGAAACTTGTGCTTGTCTTATATTGTACTTTTTAAATATATCTAGAAATATATTACACAGTATCATGTGTTAATAAGCCCAATTTTCAAATACATTCACTTAATTCAAGTTGAAAACATTTTCCAACGAGTCTTAGTTGATACAAAAAAAGCCCAATAACTTATTTGCATAACAAGCTTGATATATACCCTTCATATTTCCACTTATTATAAGCAATCTGAGGCTTCTGTTTTAAGGAATGAGCTGCCAACACTTTCTGTAACACAATAAATGAAACCCTATGGAGAGCTTAACTGAACTTATGATGAGTCAAAATACGGCCCAGCAACGCCTCGATGCCTCTGCTACCTTAATGTGTTTCAATGCTACGAGGTGGTGAAATATTATTGATTGTTTATTTTCGACACAACTACAGAGAGAAAAATACAATTAAAAACATGTTTAATTCAACTGTGACTTAGAATTGTAATCTCAGAGAATGACAAGGTATATTTAACAAGGATAATTCTGCACATACATTACAGTGAGATGAAAACATGACACCAGGAAACATTTAGTAAATTGGCAATTCTCATGGGATGATAAAAGAAAAAATGCACTCACTCTTCTAAATGTGATCATACCCTGAATGCACATCTCTTTTCTTCAATAAATGTACTCAAAGTAATTTGCTTGTGTTTATTTGATTACATATAGTAGCCTGTACACCGTCATTATTCTTTATTGTAATTATTTACATTTCTTGTGCCCTTGAATTTGCAAAACAATGTAAGCTGAGAGATATACTGCAGCATTGGTACAAAGCAAAGCAATACTATACATTTCACTTTAAATCACCACTGTAATTGTAAGAAAATATGCATGAAAATATCACCCTTCACAAAAAATGCAATCTTCTACTTCCCACAGAATATGTTTCTCTCCGTCTCTGTGGATCAACTCACAGATACATTGCTGAATTTGGTAGCAATGGAACAGAAAGCCATTTCAACGCATTTTCTCAAGATTGAAAAAGTGTAAAGAAAGCATAGAGAATCACAGACGCACCTCATTTTAACTGGGACTGAAGCCAAAAAGCTTGATATTATCTAAACATTCACAATTATTTACTTTTTTCCCCTTCGATCCGCCAGTCCATTTCATTTATATATAAGTGGGCTTTTTCCCCCCCTCATCATATGGGGCCAAGCCTGCGAGTGGCTGGCTTGACGTGACGCACCACGTGACGCACCTCGTCCCTCTTACAACCAACCAAACACATTCTCCTAAACATGCCGCTCTATTTAAGCTGCCAGGTCTTCCTTCCTCTGCCTCGCTATGCTGCTGCTGCACTGCTGTGTTCACTTGCTATTGCTACGTTCATGTTCCTGCTGCTGTGTTTCATGTTGCTGCTGCTCACCTGCTCCACCACCACCCCAGCTTCCACCCCAGCTTCCATCCCAGCTTCCACCCCAGCTTCCACCCAGCTTCCATCCCAGCTTCCACCCCAGCTTCCACCCAGCTTCCACCCCAGCTCCCAACCCAGCTTCCACCCCAGCTTCCACCCCAGCTTCCACCCAGCTCCCAACCCAGCTTCCACCCCAGCTTCCACCCCAGCTTCCACCCCAGCTTCCACCCCAGCTTCCACCCAGCTTCCACCCCAGCTTCCACCCCAGCTCCCAACCCAGCTTCCACCCCAGCTTCCACCCCAGCTTCCACCCCAGCTTCCACCCCAGCTTCCACCCCAGCTTCCACCCCAGCTTCCACCTCAGCTTCCACCCAGCTTCCACCCCAGCTTCCACCCAGCTTCCACCCCAGCTTCCACCCCAGCTTCCACCTCAGCTTCCACCTCAGCTTCCACCCCAGCTTCCACCCAGCTTCCACCCCAGCTTCCACCCCAGCTTCCACCCCAGCTTCCACCCAGCTTCCACCTCAGCTTCCACCCAGCTTCCATCCCAGCTTCCACCCCAGCTTCCACCCAGCTTCCACCTCAGCTTCCACCCCAGCTTCCACCTCAGCTTCCACCTCAGCTTCCACCCCAGCTTCCACCCAGCTTCCACCCCAGCTTCCACCCAGCTTCCACCTCAGCTTCCACCTCAGCTTCCACCCAGCTTCCATCCCAGCTTCCACCCCAGCTTCCACCCAGCTTCCACCTCAGCTTCCACCCCAGCTTCCACCTCAGCTTCCACCTCAGCTTCCACCTCAGCTTCCACCCAGCTTCCACCCCAGCTTCCACCCCAGCTTCCACCCCAGCTTCCACCCCAGCTTCCACCCCAGCTTCCACCCAGCTTCCACCCCAGCTTCCACCCCAGCTTCCACCCCAGCTTCCACCTCAGCTTCCACCCCAGCTTCCACCCAGCTTCCACCCCAGCTTCCACCTCAGCTTCCACCCCAGCTTCCACCTCAGCTTCCACCCCAGCTTCCATACAGCTTCCACCCCAGCTTCCACCCCAGCTTCCACCCCAGCTTCCACCTCAACTTCCACCCCAGCTTCCACCCAGCTTCCATCCCAGCTCCCACCCCAGCTTCCACCTCAGCTTCCACCCCAGCTTCCACCCCAGCTTCCAACCCAGCTTCCATCCCAGCTTCCACCCCAGCTTCCATCCCAGCTTCCACCCCAGCTTCCACCCCAGCTTCCACCCAGCTTCCACCTCAGCTTCCACCCCAACTTCCACCCCCAGCTTCCACCCAGCTTCCACCCCAGCTCCCAACCCAGCTTCCACCCCAGCTTCCACCCCAGCTTCCACCCCAGCTCCCAACCCAGCTTCCACCCCAGCTTCCACCCCAGCTTCCACCCCAGCTTCTACCCCAGCTTCCACCCAGCTTCCACCCCAGCTTCCACCCCAGCTCCCAACCCAGCTTCCACCCCAGCTTCCACCCCAGCTTCCACCCCAGCTTCCACCCCAGCTTCCACCCCAGCTTCCACCTCAGCTTCCACCCAGCTTCCACCCCAGCTTCCACCCAGCTTCCACCTCAGCTTCCACCCCAGCTTCCACCTCAGCTTCCACCTCAGCTTCCACCCCAGCTTCCACCCAGCTTCCACCCCAGCTTCCACCCCAGCTTCCACCCCAGCTTCCACCCAGCTTCCACCTCAGCTTCCACCCAGCTTCCATCCCAGCTTCCACCCCAGCTTCCACCCAGCTTCCACCTCAGCTTCCACCCCAGCTTCCACCTCAGCTTCCACCCTCAGCTTCCACCCCAGCTTCCACCCAGCTTCCACCCCAGCTTCCACCCAGCTTCCACCTCAGCTTCCACCTCAGCTTCCACCCAGCTTCCACCCCAGCTTCCACCCCAGCTTCCACCCAGCTTCCACCTCAGCTTCCACCCCAGCTTCCACCTCAGCTTCCACCTCAGCTTCCACCTCAGCTTCCACCCCAGCTTCCACCCCAGCTTCCACCCCAGCTTCCACCCCAGCTTCCACCCCAGCTTCCACCCCAGCTTCCACCCAGCTTCCACCCCAGCTTCCACCCCAGCTTCCACCTCAGCTTCCACCCCAGCTTCCACCCAGCTTCCACCCCAGCTTCCACCTCAGCTTCCACCCCAGCTTCCACCCCAGCTTCCACCTCAGCTTCCACCCCAGCTTCCATACAGCTTCCACCCCAGCTTCCACCCCAGCTTCCACCCCAGCTTCCACCTCAACTTCCACCCCAGCTTCCACCCAGCTTCCATCCCAGCTCCCACCCCAGCTTCCACCTCAGCTTCCACCCCAGCTTCCACCCCAGCTTCCAACCCAGCTTCCATCCCAGCTTCCACCCCAGCTTCCATCCCAGCTTCCACCCCAGCTTCCCACCCCAGCTTCCACCCAGCTTCCACCTCAGCTTCCACCCCAACTTCCACCCCAGCTTCCACCCAGCTTCCACCCCAGCTTCCACCCCAGCTTCCACCCCAGCTTCCACCCAGCTTCCACCCCAGCTTCCGCCTCAGCTTCCACCCCAGCTTACACCTCAGCTTCCACCCCAGCTTCCACCCCAGCTTCCACCCCAGCTTCCACCCCAGCTTCCACCTCAGCTTCCACCTCAGCTTCCATCCCAGCTTCCACCTCAGCTTCCACCCCAGCTTCCACCCAGCTTCCACCCCAGCTCCACCTGTAGGCTCGGGGGATAGTTATCTAATCATCACTCGATGTTCTTTGTAAATCTGAGTGATGAGGCCCGAGCCTAGATGCCAAACTCAAACTATATGCTGCTTATAATGAACACATTAGGAAACACGTGAGTTGTCTGACTGAACTTCTATTCATGTTCAATTTGGTGTTTTCCACATTAATCATAATTCTGTCATGTTTTTTGACATGTTTGCTCGTCAATACAGATTCAGCTTTCAAAATATATCCACATGAGAGTACATTTGAATGATCTCTTCATTATTACATCTGACACACATCATCTGGTATATGCAAAGCTGAAATCATCATCAACGGCATCCATTGATCGATGCCTGGAGTTTGATTGGTGGCAGGATCTATCGGAGTACATAAATCACAGAGAACAAATCCCCCTTCAACAAGTCCTTAACGCGCCACATATATTCCATGTGACACATAGTCTTATGCTAATTTAAAACGCGATCAATAATCTCCTTGAAGCTGTGAGATTAGGCCTCTTCGTGTACACTGTGATGAAGAGTATGTGTTTGGAGGTGTCCATCGACTTCACATTTCAAACAGTGAATTGAGGTGAAGGAAATACTGCAAACAAGGTTTTTCAGAGGCAGCATCTCTATTCTTTTACTGATCCACTGAGACGCTGTCGGCAGGCTTGACAACGCTCATGAAAGTCAAGTAGGAGTGAGCAGAAAACACAGAAGAAATCCAAGCTTCACTGGTTTTGGCCGTTGTGGATTTTTCGCATTTGAACCCAAGGAACCCACAATATCCTGTCATTTTACCATACGTTGTTGGAAAACTAACTATATACAGTTCTGTCATTGCGCCCTTAGCAAAAATAACGACAGGGGAGAGATATCCTGTAGCAATTGGTTAAAGCAAAGTGAGTATATACAGTACACTTTAACGATCACTGGCGTTGTAAGAAAATATTCAGGAATGTATCACGGCACAGAGTTGTGAATATTTATAGTCTCTTTCCATGTCTGTCTTCCATCTGTAAGCAGAGCAGAAAGACATTTCCAAGCATTGGATCGTTGTCTTTCCTTTTTCTTTGATATTTTCTTGTCAAAAGCATTGTGGTGTAACATTACAATTGACATAGATCCATTTCAAGTCCATGGAACATTGTGCCCCGCATGTATCTTTAAACACAGCTGATGGTGGCATAGTCTAACGGGAAACACACAAATCTTGCTGTAAAACATAAATAACTAAAAAGAAAGAAACCAAATAAGACTCCCCTTCTTCTACCAGGTACAGATTGGTCGGCATTGTTGTGCACGAACTGTGCTGCAATTCATCATCCAGCTGTCGGTGGGTGTCAGTGGAGTCGTGTTACGCTGTAAGGCTCATTTGCTTCGGGTTTATGTCGAAGAAATAAATGGAAAAACGTCAAAACTCCAACCTGTTTTTTGTTTGGTGAAGGTAAGTGTTCCTTCGGGAGAAATTATGAAGTTTGAACTGAACAGCCCAGTTTTCACACACATTTATTTTGTCGCGCTCTATTTACCCTGACAGTCCGTCTGGTTTATAACAATGCAATTTAACAAATGCATTCTCTGCTCGCTGAGATAGAAACCAGCTATCATATTTCCATCATCAAAAGTCATTTCTCCGGTCCATTGGGAAGACAAATCGTGAGCTGGGGATGTTTTGTTTCAAAATCTTCCCTTTTTACATTTGGATATTTTCTTAGAACTTTAATGGAACAGTAACATCAGAGCGACTCGTTTTTTCTTTCTCTTTAGCTGAATTTCCAAATTGGGGAGAATAAGCGTCACGACTCAGTTCTTTGAGACTTCTTCCTCTTTAAGATTTTTTCAAAACTCTGTTGTGGAGATCTGGGTGACTTCTGATTGCAGATCTTGCTGGATCCTCCTGGAGCGAGAGCTGTGAGGGACCCACTCCATGCCTAGTCATGCCGGCTTCTTCCCAGTGGTCGACGGAGCGCACACGGACACCGGCTCCATGGCAGTGTTGCGTCCTCGGGTCTGACTGTGCTGCTCCACGTGGGTTCGACAGGGGAGGCAGAAATCCCTGAAACACCGCTTGAAATTCTCATCCAGAAAGGCATAGAGGACCGGGTTGAGGCTGCTGTTGGTGTATCCCAAGGCGATGCAAAGGTGCCAGGTGGCAATCACGAAGGGGTTCCTGTTGTCGATCTTCACCATAGTCTTCACGATGATGAAGATGTGGATGGGCGTCCAGCAGATGATGAAGGCGGCAACCACCACCAGGACCATTCGGGTGATTCGCCGCATGTTCCGGTCCTTTTCCTTGGAGCCGGAGAGCAGCCGGACGCTCTTCAGACGCAGGATCATGAGGCCGTAACAGATGGTGATGACCAGCACGGGAACCACGAAGGCGAAGATGAAGACGCAGATCTTTGTCACCGTGTCCCAGTACCAGGTGGGGTCAGGAAACTTCAACGTGCACACGGTTTTACCTGAGAAAAGTACAGGTATAATTATAAATGTGTTGACGTAAGGTTATGGTATCTCACAGGTTTTGATAGATACTGGTTTGTGCACTTAAAAAGCTTCATATGCTGTATATATGCCACACCTCCAAAATACTGTGTTTGTGGCTGCTGTACAAATGAAAGAAATCAGGAATATATTTCTGCGGGTGTTTCTGCAATTGCTTCGGACAACCATTAAAACAGAAAATAACTCTAATATCATATTTGGACAAACCTCTTAAATCACGATGGGCAGCGGCATAATGTTATTTAGTTGTACCTTTCACAAGAATGAAGCCTTGTGCACTTCTAGTGTTTCAATCCAGTGTAGATTGGGGCTCCTTTGTGTTAAACGGATAAAGGGCAAACATTTCTGCATTGGTACTTAACATTGACACTTGATTGAAATTATTAATTTGGGGATTTGCTGTAAATGAAAATGTTTAATATGCTATTTTTGAGCCGGTCTGATAATCAGACCATTGTTTGCCCTACCAAGATTACTTACAATTACATTTTCCCAATTCAAGGACTACTTTTTGAAGGAAAGGGGACTTTATTTCAAAGACAATGACCAGTTGGAATACTTTTGGATTATCTTTCAACATTATTTACTGGGGAAGTTGTCAAATGAAGCCAAAAAAGATCCTACTATCCTTGGGAGATTTCAATAGTTTCCTTGGTTTTAAATTATGTTTTTTGGATTCAGCTGACTTAACGTTTTGAAGGTTTTTCCACTCACTCTGAAACGATGAATCATTCAAGGGCCGGACTGGATACATAATCAGTCTTGCTTCTTCTTTGTTTGACATGCACACTCAAATAAAGTTCCCAAGGACTAGAATAAATAATAAATATCCTAATACATTTTAATCCTGCAGGTCAAACATGTTGAAGGTCTTTTCATAGGTGATTCGCAGCTGTCCTCAAGCACTAAAGTGAAGTTTCAGTTATTCATAGGGGTTACCTAATCCTGGAGGACAGTTCAAATGTATATGAAAACTTGCAAAATCCACTTCTTCATGTATTTTCTACATCAACATGTGTCCCCTCTGTGAAAAGAGATTCTAAAAGTTTCAGGAAAAAAGATTCTCTCTCTTTTTGTTCTGATCCATTTCTATAAAAACCTGTCTGAAAATGAGCTGATCAGATTTTGGCCACTTTATGATGTCATAACGATGTTTTGTCTTGTGTAACCATTAGCCAATCAGCAACCAAGGTAACCCCCCCCCCCCACCTTATCACCTGAATCTCCTCCTAGAGCACCATTGTGTTCTTTCTAACCAAATCTCTCTCAGAGGGGCGTGGGGAGGGGCTCCTTATTTTCATCTAAAGTAACGGACAGAGAATCAGCACTTTGGAAACAGGGCTGAAACAGAGGGGGTTATGGGTAATGCTGCAATGATCTGTTTGGTGTTTGGAGCCAAACACTTCAGAGACATGTTTTGTATATATCTGAGACCTATAATATATTGATGAGTAACAGTATGATAGGGGACCTTTAAAGAATAATAATGGGAATGTAACACTATCTCACCATTATCGTTCACTTTAGTCACAGCCATGACCATAATGGGCACCCCAATCGCCGAGGACAAACCCCAGATTAGCACGTTTATCATCTTCGCTTTGACCGGCGTTCGAAACCCGAGCGCCCGGATGGGGTGACACACGGCGACGTATCGGTCCACGCTCATCATGGTGAGGGTGAAGATGCTCGTGAACATGTTGTAGTAGTCGATGGCGATGATGAGCTTGCACAAGACTTCCCCAAAAGGCCAGTTGTTCATGAGGTAGTTGGCGCTCTGGAACGGCAGCGTGCTCGTCGCCAAGGCGTCTGCGAGGGCCAGGTTGAAGATATAGATGTTTGTGGGTGTCTTCATCTTGGTGTATCTGGTTGTGATGAGAGAGGAGAACAAGTGTTTGCAATCAGCAGCGGTGAAAATGAGAGCAGCTGAGTGTTAAAGGCTGTGGGATTTGAAAGTGTTATTCAAAGTGCAGCGTATTTTAATGGATTAGTTTGTTCCCTCGGGCAATAGATCAGCAGCGTACAACTAGATTGTCCTTTCTCTAAATGAGTGATTTGAGATAATTGCTATAACTGGCTTGTTGGCCGTAGATCATGCAGCCTACTAAAGCACCAGAGAGTTGTGAAAGAAAAACTGAGATTCATGTTGTATGTCCTGGACCCTGCTTTAATCATGGGGCTGTGCTTTTCTATCAGTGTGTGAGTCGAATATATGTTTTATCTTGTACTGGAAGAAATAATAATGGCTATCAGCACTGAATTCATTTGGTGCAGCTTTTGCTTATTGAGGTCAGAAATGTTCCTCTGAGGCATAAGGATATTTCACTGAAGCTTCTCTCAACAGAAACTCCTCCTAGATGTGTTCATGAACTTCATTAGAATAAACCCAAAGCCCAATATATCAAAGGATACGTGAATAGATGTTTCTTCTGGTCATTTTTCACAAAGCCAGTAATACGCATATTAAACGCATACAACGCATACAAACGCATATACAGTTTATATTCTTATAATCACTTAGTTTTTTATGTGTATGAAACGTTTTTCAGCATTAACGATGAATTTACAAACCTTCCTATAAAGTTATCGGTTTTAACGGAGCCAAGTCATCTAATGAGAGGCCGACTTTTATGTTAATACAATGCATCTCATTGGTGGATTGGATTCAATGCGTATGACTTGGCAGTGTTGTAGCACTGGAGAGATTAGAGTTAATACCAAAGGTTAGTCTGAGTCTTTTTGAAGGTCTACTTTTGCAAACGACTGCATTTCTACTGGATCTTGCATCAGCCTCAATAAGATGAGGAATATTTTGTAATTGTTTTGCCTGGTCAAGACTACAATTCCAGGGAAGTGACTAAAGCCATTTACGTATACACATATGTACATTATGTTGTGATTGAATGTAAAATGTCCTGCTTCAAATCAAAACACTAAACAAAGATCGTTAAGTGGATTCCATCTTGTTTTGTCTGTATTTGTTTCCTCGTGAGAAACAAGGACAATTCCCATATAGTAAACAAATCACCTCTGCATTGGCTTTTAAATATCTTAGCAGGACATTGGTAAATGGGCTGCAAAAGTGGTCAATTAAGGGCAATCCTCTTTTGTTTTCTGTTGGTGTTTTGAATTATGGAGGTTTCCGATCAATTTGCGAAATCCCAATGCTTACCATGATTCATTTTTAAGTGTGTAATGCAGTGTGGGACTTGCACTGCTGTGGTTTTTGTCTTGACTTGCTCTCAACCTCTCAAAGTCTTGCTATTGACTCGGTCTCGATACCCTTGCTCATTACATTGTGTACAATTAGTAGCATGTCTTAAATTGAGAACATCTGATCCAATCAGGATAGCGTTTAAGCAGATTCGCCAACAAGGCACTATATGGAAGACCTACAATATAAAAAGCAGGAGGTATATTCAGAAATAGAGCAATACAATGTCAATAAAAGCTTGTACATATATGAATAAGAGGTATCTACCTTGTTCTCATGTGACCCTGTTGTGCCAAGTTGTTGTATTTGTGAAAAACGGTCTCTACTCATGCCACACTTGGGTAACAATGTCTTTCATTTGTGCGTAGACGGCTCTGGATTGTTCCCTACTGTACTTAAGGTTTCATGTTACTGTATGTGTTTAGATTTATTTTGATAGTCTTGTCTACCCTCATGTGTCTAAAGTACATTTCCTGCCTTGTCTGTTTTCCCGCTGTTGTGATTATCGTATTGCCTTCACCCGGTGATGTCTGTCTAGTATTTATAGTTCTCGTCTTCCCCTGTCTCGTTGCCAGATTGTCTTGTGCGTTTCCAAGCATTCCAGCGTCATAGTCATTGTCATCGTCCATAGCTACAGTAATATATTCTATTCTATTATGAGAGTTGATGCATTGATGATATATTAGCGACTAAACTCTGTGGGTTGACATTTTGTATAATATAATAAATGAGTGTGATGAGAACGAATCAGAAAATATAATCACATTGATTGCTGATGAAGACTCTCATCGCTTGCACCATAATTCACTGTCACTTAAAAGCGAGTAGTTAAATACACCGTTTATGGGCTGGTTACCTTTAGGAGTGGCAGCTGCAGAATCCATAATATGACTTGTGTTATTGGGACACTAAATGGACCTAAAGCACCATTCGGACGTGATTTATTTCTCTAAGGAAGGTAAGGGGGTTTTAACATAATCCCACTAGGAGCAACGTGCTTGTATTTGAAATTAGATCTCAGTGGGGGGTTTTTATGCATGAAAAGCTGCTTGTCCTTCTACTGTTTTTACTAAGCTGATAGATGCATGCTAACACCGGCATGAAATCAAATTTGAGCCGTGAGGAGAGCAAGAGCCCTTGGAAGCAAATCACATGTGGTGCTGTGCTGTCGGCTACACCAAAGTACTGCTTTTGTCTCTTTAGCCCTGTTCTTTTAGCCAACATTTGTTCACTTTTTGATACATTGGCATCATTAAAAGTATGATGTATTAGCCATTAGCAGTGTAAATGGATCACTGAATTACTTTGATGCAAAGGAAAACTTAAAAAGATGCAGACTCTTGGGGAACCTCTGAAGCCTCTTTTTATATGATTACCGAGTAGATTCATGGGTGATGGATATTGCATCATAGAGTAACATCATCCTGAAGTGTTAGTCACACAGAATATACCAATATGTGTTTCAGGGAGGCTGTGGCTCAGTGGATAGAGTGCTGGACTTCGAATTAGGGGGTAGCAAGTTTGAGTCCCACTGCAGTCAGCATGTCGTTGTGTCCCTGGGCAAGACACTTCACCCCAAATTGCTCCTGTGGGGATTGCCCACAGTAAATCGCTTTGGATAAAAGTGTAATGTAATGTATTTGATGTAAATATGACTCAGAAGTTGAAGGATTTTTTGACTTAAAGGTGGGGTATGTAATTTATTTCAGAAACACTTTTTGTTATATTCCATGGAATGCTCTTAACATCCCGATAGCAATGAATACATTAAATGCTTTGACAATAAATACATAAACAAATATCATCTGTGGAAGCCGTAGTACTGGAAAAAGCACGACTAATCATCTGAGCCGGCCCGGCTAAAGTAACTGGATGGCCTACCTGCCTGTCAGCCTTCCATCTGTGCACAAACTTATCTCGTGCCCTCATTGGTCATGTGCGCGTCCGTGTGTGTTGGAGGAGGGGCTCTGTGAGGAAGTGGCAGATTTTTCCCGGTTGTGTATTTTCAAATTCTAGCGCACTCGAGCTGGTTTCTCCAAAATTACCACCCCCACCTTTAATGCTTTGTCCTGCTGAAAGTCTACCTCTGTAATTTCCAGATGGTAATAATACCATCTTGAATGATGAGTTAAATCACTGAATGTTTAATTCCTCACCTTCTGTAATGTTAATCCCGTCCAAATGGTGTTTGATAATAAATGTCATCAGATACACCTGCGCTTTTTCTGCAAAGTAAAAATCTCTGCCCCCACATGTTGTATGTCTAAGGTCTAGTTAAGTCAATCTGCAACACACGTTCATGTGGCCTTGATTATATAGTACACATTCAGCCTAATTTTCTATTCATTTCCATTAAATCCAACAAAAGGAAATGCCGAAGTCAGCAGCAGATTGCTTTGGTTTTCATTTGACCTCGTAGCCTAATCATAATCCGCTTCATGTATTACATTCGCTGTTTGTGCAAGAAAGCATAATATTACTGTAAGGATTTGAGTTGATGTAAAAATGCGACAGTCAGATAGGAAAATGAAAAGCGTTAGTTCGAGTTTCGTCTTCTGACACAAAATGAATTATGTTGTGATTAAAGCCTTAAAGCCTGGCTTTCTACATGGGCAGAGGATTATGTGCGAACGTGTGTTTATCACCAGAGCCACTTTGATAATTGAAGTGTGATTCAAACAGAAATCTTGTTAGCCTCTCTCGTGATCCGAACTGACAAGATAGTAGTGATGTGTCGGTTTTGAACGAGGCGGCTCGTGCCCGCGAACGAGCCGGTTTTTTTTTTTGCGGAGGGATCTAGATCGGCATGAAGGCACATTATGCAATGTGCACATTATCCCGCGTATTACATGGCCACATTCTCAACAAATTAACGACATGACTCCCAATATTAATTGAAATGCTTTTATGGATTTAGAAAATGATTTTATTGATTTATTGAGTTGTAGGCCTATGTATTTAAATTGACATGCATCCGCTAAGAAAAATAGTCCGTTGTTACTGTTTGAACTAACGTAGCAACGGCAGGAACTGCTTCGAGAGTGTTTTTGAGGAGCTTTTTGTTTACAGATTTGAAAACATCGTTGCTTGCTTTAAAAGTAGCACAATTCATTATGTCAAACTTTGGAAAGTATCTAGATATCCCTGCCCTAATGCCAAAGTAACTGGCAACTGAATATGTGTCGCCGTTTGATGTCTATGTCTGGACCGCTGCGTAAAAAGGAGGGTTTCTGCCCCATTACTTCTCTTCTTACTTCAATAAGAATAAAACACGGAGGAGGGAGATCTCTTTTTCTCCCCCTCTTCTGACAGCCCAGCAGCTGATCTCAGAGCACGCTGCCCTCTCCTGCAAGGGGGCGTGGTCAGCTGCAGCTCACAGAATCATATATATACTTTATATAGATATGGCCCTACAATATATTGTTCAAATATAGCATGATAGGTCCACTTTAAGTAATACAAGACAGAATGATGATGATGATCTCCGCGCTACAGCTGCTCCGTGCATGCATGCAGGTGACATGTAATATCCAAAGATTAGAGACGGTTGGATGCTGCTGTTTTGAGCATTGCAATATATTTATTTTCACTATGTTATTTATTTATGATTATCCTTAGGCTCAGCAAAGATTTGATGTCAGCTGTTGCTGT